TTCTTTTATATATTACCCGTCGAATGAATTAAAAACAAATTTACTATCTACACCAAATCAATTAAAATCATAAACTGACTACATATCATTGCGGTAGGGTGGTGTCTATTTGACACAGAAAACGGGCACTTGGCAATGTGCGACGGTGACGGTGCATTCCGGGACTTTCGGCATTGTTAGACCACAATTATAAAAGGAAGTGAACAAGCGAACAGGTTGAGAACGACATTTGTCCGGCATCGCACGCACCCTCTCCTCCCTTTTCTTGTTTTTTTTTTTTGAGAGAACAAAGATCAAAAGTTGGCCCATGGTACGACAGTGTGGTGAGTAAGGGGAGTTAACTCAATGGGGCTAGGTCAAGGGACGCACTCAAGACAACCTGATAACACGAAGACGTTCTTTATATATCGGACGAGGACAATATCACACACGAAGGAAGCTCACAATGATAGATGGAAGGTCTAGAGTAAGGTTCCTTCCACGCGAGACGAAAGTCTATGTTGTGCTGTTACAGTCAGGGTGCTTCGCTCCCGCGACACCAAGTTTACATGCCCCCACTTACATACCCACACAGTTTACATGATCCACACGCAGGCTAGACGTCATTTGACGTCACACGATTGTTTTAACCGAGCAGGCTCTTTTCACTGCGTACACTCTGTGTGCGTGGGTGTCGGGAATTACTGCCGCAGCGCGTGGCGACGTTCATTTGTCCGCCCTTCCCTTCCAAGCGTTTGCACGGCGAGGAACGAAGCCACTCAACAAAACACAGCGGTACAATTCACGCAGTTGCGTATACCAAATGATCACGTATCACTTGCCTAGTGTTAAGCTAAGCGGAAATTACTTGGGACGTTCTCCCCGTGCAAGACACAACGCCTCGACATCCGAAAGAGCGGGCTCTACATAAACTTTTCGACATGGCACTTCGTGGTGAGTCGGGACGCGCAAGAGAAAAGGGCAAAGGCACGGAAAGACCGCTCTGTTCCTTCTTGCTCTTCATGCAGTGAAGACTAAATTGTGGTGACAAGCGTTCAAGTTAAGAGTTTGCTTTTTTTATGTGTATCACTGATATAGCGGTGAAAATGCACTACGGGTAGAGACAAGGCGAAGCAAACACCACCGGTAGGCCACGCAAGAGAAAACTGAGAAGAATAGAATGCCCTAATACATGACCAGTCGCTTCGTGGCAGACCTACATGAGGTCGCATTAGAGCAGCAGCGCAAGCAAAGCGGCACGGGCGGTGGAGAAGAAAGAGGCTGCAGCGGATAAAAGATCTGGCCGCATACGCGCGCCAGGCCGGAGCTCATTTGAACAGAGGGGGAAATCAAGGCGCCACCGTATGATGCTTCGCGGGAACTGCTTCCTCACACTCAGCAGCCGTTCATCGCTTCGACGCCATTGTACTATACCTCGCCTCCACGGCGACCCAAAGGCGGCTCCCGCTCTTTCAACTCAACCTGCGCCGATGGTGCGGGGGGCTGGATACGAGTGATGCAGAGAGAAAGCGTTCCTCCGCCCAGCCCGACCGTATGTCGATGTCAGCGTGCCCTCGGTCGGAGCCCCCGGCGGTACAGCGTTATATATGGCGAGGAATTGGAAATGACGCACAAGCCGAGGCCAGACTGGTCGCGGCGGTAATTGCTCGGGCGCTGGCTTGTGCCCGTGCAGGGAAAGAAAGGAATATGGGAAACAACAGAAATATTTAGGTTTCTAAGAACGCAGTTTGGCCGCCGGGTGTGACAAAGCGGGATTGGGTAACGGAAGAGCGGAAAGCTCTCGGTTGGATGACGTGCGTGCAGTTGAATGTGACACGTCAACAGCAGTGTTTTGGGAAGTTTGGCAGTATACTTCTCGAGGTTGCGGCGTGGGTCCAAATTGTGTAAGCAGTACGAAAAAATTGGAAAAGGTGAAACCCGGGCTGACGGCAATGTACGTACACGGCAAAGAACAGTGAGCCCGGGGGAGGAGGTTCAAGAGGAGCAAGAAAGAGCGCAGTGCGAGAGCTTCAGTATCAGCCCGGGTAAAGCAAGAACAAAGAAGAAACGAGACAAACCACAAAGGTGAAAAGGAACTAGAAGACACACAGAAGAACAAGTGGCGAGGCTTAACCCTCGAAAGTTTCAGAGCAGAAAAAAAAAAGCAGAACGCTACAGACACGTGGACACCACCCAATGGCGTGTGCATTCGTGTAAGCCTCACAAGAAGCTTCGTGAGCACGTTCCATGCTAGCGACACAAAAGAAGACAAAGTAAAGAGACAAACGGGCGGCTTGTTAAAACCGGGGCAGGTATACGTTGAAGGGGGGCAGAAGGACACGGCACAATGTGTGTATCGACCCAACAGGAAGCGCGCGGCGGAGTCGCCGAGACGAAGACGCGTGCATGCGCAAGAGGGCGTGTACCGTCGCACTACAGCAGAGACGACGTCCGGCGAAGACGTACGCGTGCACACGCCTTCCATGCAAATAATACGCGAGGGTGCGCACACAGAGCGATGGAGAGAGAGATACCGCAAGCACACGCCTAGTGTTTCACGTGTGCGTTCCGTATAGCGGACCTCTCACCAGTGTTTGTACATACATACACAGGCGAGGTGCCCCTCCATCATCCGTCGGCGGCGACGGACGGTGTGCAGCCCCAGAGCTCACCGTTGCTTGGTTGCCTGCTCGCTTTTCAGAAATGGTGGAACCCGCGGAAAGAAAAGAGAAGCGCGCGTGGCACTGAAACAATCTACGCGCTCCCCACCCTCGTTGGGACGCCACGCCCCCAACTCGTGATACCGTTTTAGTTGCCTGCTGCTCGAGTGAATCCATAGAACAAGAATGTGTTTTTTTTTTTTTCTGTTGATACGGCACAAGCCTCATATGCTTCATGAAAGCAAAAGTGTCCCTCCGCGACGCCAACCAAAACAGTGACGCGATCACAGACGACTGCATGCGACGTCATTACCGGAATGAACGTCACGTAACAACACGACGACATATGAAGACGTCGTCGCACGAAATCGTCGCCTAATCCAAATGAGTGGACCTGGCCGAACCCGGAGGACCTTCAACACCATGTGACGTGCAGAAAGCGCGGGTGGAGCGGAAGGCAGGAAGAGTCAATTCAGTGGACAGACAAGATGATGGCTTTCACCTTCCAGTCGTCTTAGGGGAACACATGAGAAACCGCGCCTTCTTTTCCGATAACCTCTCAATACGTATATTTGATGCCGTCACCAAATGTCGCTGCCACGAAAGACGCTTTGATCATTGAAACTATATATACACGGTGGTGCTCGCTTTACTTCCTTTCAGCCGACAAATACAAAACCAAACGAAAAAAAAAAGGGGGGGGGGGGAGAGGAAAGCGCATGTTGCGGTAATTGTTCGATTCATTTAATTATTTCAGTGCTGCAAACAGCACTCACCCGATTCCTCGATTGGTTTACGAATCGCACGTTACGCAGTCCATGCTTTCAACACGAAATCAGTGGCAATGCCGGAAACTACGCATATTCGCCGCATATCGTGTCCCACAATAGGAAGCCTTGTTGCGAACCAACCGGTGAGTCCGTTGTACCGAACTGACTGCAGACAACAGCCACTGTATACTATACGCAGACTAATGAACGTATTCCGGCATGATGCACAACAGTGTTAAAGTACACCAGTGTAGGATAATAAACCGGACGGGCTCAAGTGTGGTTGAACTTTCTGCCTTTGCTCTTTCGAGAAATTCACGCCGATAGATAGATAAGATCGCACAAATAAAAAAAAAAGCTGATTAAGCATATCAGCAGCAATAAGAGATGCATCAAGCATTACTCAGATCAGCCCAAGCATTACCTCTACAGCTGTTCGTTTCGAATGTTGACAACCTTTCGTCATCAGAACAGTATACCACCGGAACGCCATGACCATCCGAGAATCGCTGGCAAAGTCATGCTGTCACTAACCTGTCTTATTCTTTTGTGTGTATTGTCCTTTATGCTCCACAGAAACCTACGCAAATACGCATGTAACGAGCTCGAGCAGTTTTTAACGTCACGCTTAAGGTAACGCTTACAGCGCACACCTAAATTGTCACGCGGCGGGTAAGCGAAATGTAATCGGGCCTTGAGACGGGCGTACAACTGACGATACCAGCGAAATTTCCGTGTCTCCGTGTTAATGTTAAGGTTATCCGTTGAAAACCACGCTAAGATGCCAGACTACGTGATATGTGCACGTTTCGCGCGTAAGGGCACTATATTAACACATCACACCTGACAAATGAAAAAGGCTACAGACGTTTCCGACAGTTCAAGGTTCACGAAACAAGAATTAGGACATGTCACATTTACCAAAAGTCACCAGGACGTTATGAACTAGACGGTCACTACAACTCAAAACGATGAATCGCAATAACGGTAAGCAGAACCGCCGTGAATAAAAGTTAAGAATATCATGAAGGAAGAAAGCATGTAATTCTTGTTAGGGTAACTCGGCCATTCACCTCCTCTACTTTTTTCTATCCCTCCCGAGAATTCCAATGCAGGCCTCTAGATCACAGGCATGCGCCGCGGACAGCATCCTGACACTGCGCTCGTATAACCACAAGAGAAACAAATACGAGAGCGCAAAGGCGCAATGAACGACAATCACCGGATGTTTGGCGCGCGAGACGGAAAGCCCTGGCAAGAAATTCGGCTCCGCGTCCGTCTTCCCGAAAGGCTTCGGCGGACGGCATCCAGATGCCCGCCAAGACTTATTACCAACACGACGGGACAAGCGGCGGACGCGAAGCAAAACGGTATCTGAGTGACAGGGGCGCCACGACGCCGTATAGTCTACGAGCCCCAGGGATTCCGAGGTGGGCCTCATCCAGATCCACGCTTCATTCTTCGCGTACGCTTGACACACGCACTTTCTCTCATGTGTAAACATGCGCCAGCCCTCCCCCTATCCCTCACTTTCAATGTACGCACGCGCATACACACACGCGTGTGCGTGATACAGATGCCCTATACGTACCCGCCTCGCCCGGACGGGATAGCATGTTGAACGGGCGAAAGCAGATTCCTCAGCAGCAGTCCGACAGCTCTCGGTCGCCGCGACAACGTTCGTTGCTCTCCTTTTCACTGGTTGCGCCGAGGAGATCCCGCGAAGAGCAACACGATGCACACGCGCGCACGGAGCACTGGCCGTATGTGCAGAAGGGTCGGAGCCGCAGGCTAGAACGTTCCGTCAGCACTGGAGACCGCGCGTGCACTGGCAGTCGGCGTCAGCAGGCGCTACACAAGCCGGGCGGAGGAGACGTTCGAAGGAGGAGAGAAAGGAGGGGAATCTTACGTCGGTGAGCGTGGGCCCGAAGAAACCGCGGCGGGCGAGCAGTCAATGACCGCAGAAGCAGGCGAAGGCGCTTGTTTCCGCTGGGGGGGGGGGGGGGGGGGGTCGCGCAGCAACAGAAGCAAGCAGAAACCCGGCACCGAGAAAACACGCGACTGCGGCTCGCTGACGAAAGCCACAACACCACCGCTGAAACAGCCGCCCGCTGCGGCCAGTCAGTCAGTCAAGGGGGGGACGTCCCGCGGCCGACGCGATCTGGGGACTGTGGCTGCTGTGGCGAGAGCAGAAACTAGCGTCCGCCACAACCCGTCCAACGCCCACCACCACCGACACCCTTTCGTCGACGATTCCCCTCCCCCCCCCCCCCCCCCCCGATCTTTATTCTCCTGTTTTGGCGGTCCACCGCCTCTTCTCCAACGGGAACCCGTTACGGTGGGTCTACGCTGGTTTATCGAGGGTGGTGAGGGTATCCAGAGAGGAGAGAGGGGTGTCTCTTTATGCAGCCCTCACTCTTTGAGTACACCCCCCATCACTCACTGAAGAGGATGCTGCTCATGGAGGGAGCTTCCGCAACGGCGGCAACCAGGCACACACGAGCAGGAACTGGCGGTGGCCGGCGTAGATGCGAGATCCCGATGTTACTCCGGCGGTCTGCGCCGGGTAAGGGTGTACATCCTCCTCCCTCTACCGCTGCCCTTGAACTCGGGCGCACACGTGCGTCGCTCTTGCTCCTCCTTTACACATTCGCCTCAGCCTCCTCTTCCTTTTCGACTCTTCAAAAAGTGGGGCCTCATTTTCCTACAATACCTATGGACCCAGCGAGCACGCGTGCGCGCGATCTTGGTGATCTCGATGGCGACGCACCGTTCTACAGGATGAGAGGGGGAGGAGGGATTGGCGGAGCAGCTCGGCAGCGTCAGCCTGTCGGCAGCCGGCCCCGCCCGGCCCCGTCCAGGTTCGAGAGCATTATATTCGGGTCAGCGACGGTGCGAAATGCGCGACAGAAGACGGAGAGCTACATCGAAGCCCCGATCCAAAGAAATAAAAAAAAGAAGAAGTTTCGAGAAAGAGATGGAGGTTGCATACGCTGCAATGGCTGGCACCCGTGCGGCAACGTCAGCGCGTGCGTGCGGATGTTACAATTGTTATTATTATTCTTTTTGCGAACTTTGTAGCGATTTTTTTTTAGGTAGAGCAAGACCGGTACTCTCAAAAGGCTGGAAGCGCAAGACTCGATAACAATCGCCAATATCTATCTGGATTGACGGATGCGAAAGAAACGTGCCGTCCACCGAAACACGTGCGATAAGCTGCGAGGAGGCGAGAGAGAAGCCAGCCACGGGGAGCCCTCGGCGTACGAAGTGGTGCTGTTCAAGAGGAGCACGTTCTCCGAAAAACGATGTAGTTAACAGATTGGCGCGCCGCGCCAGTGAGTTCGAGCTCGCTCGACCATCCGCCGAGGTAGAGGCGTGCGGTTTCGATTTGGCCATCTACACGGCACGGCTCGGTCCATCGACTCTCTTTACCCGTTTTTATGTATTACTCTCGGTTCCTTTCCAGTCTGACGGCCTGAAATGAGGAAAGAACTAGAAACACTATAACAATGCAGGTCGAGTGGAAAGGGCTGCGAAGGGGAACCCGTTCGTGACTGCAGCTTGGATGATGAGCGACCCAGGCAAACTAGAAAAAAAAAAAGTACAGCACGTATATGTAGGCATCGATTTGTATGGTGCACAAACGCGAGGGACGCACATCGTGAACGGGAGGCGCCGAGAATCGATGAGTAAGACGCTGGAAGGGCGAGCTTGCCAGTGCACTTGTATCGCTGCTGGCTCGGATTACTCAGTCTTGCACGAGTCATTGAGCACTTGCACAATCGTGGCACTGCAGGCGCGCTTGAGAATCGTGTATTCGACCGCACATGCACTACGTGGTAGGCGTCGCGAAACTGGCGCGGCTGGCTGAGTCGTTACAGGTATTTCAGCCAGCTCTGGAGTTGTGGAGCACCTCTCCCAGATTGGTCCACTCAATAAATAAATAAATAAATAAATAAATAAATAAATAAATAAATAAATAAATAAATCACAATTATTAATATTATTATTATTATTATTATTATTATTATTATTATTATTATTATTATTATTATTATTATTATTATTATTATTATTATTATTATTATTGCTTCGCATGAGGGGTGCCAAGCATCAAAGGAGTGAGGAGCTGGGCAGGCTTCTTTATTTTTTTTTGGTTCCCTTTTTTTGTTCTCTTTTTCAATTTTCTTTCTACTTCTACATTTCAATTTATTTCTACATTTCATCCCATTGTTGCCCTTTTCTGTTTCTTTCTATTTCTCGCTTTTTGCTTTCTGTTTTTCGGTCTATTTCTATACGTGTTTTCTTTTTCTTTTTTTGCCTGCGTTGCGCTAAGCCACGAGAGCCCGAACCACTAAAGTTCCCCGCACTTAATATCATCATGAAGGCATTCGAAGAAGAAGAGGAAGAATACTTTTCCTTCTCTCGAGTTTGTGCCCAACATCCCACGGATGGCTATACTGTACGTTATTTTGCCTGCGTTACGACAACAGACGACGACCACATATGGAATGCTGGGCCCCCAAAGTTCTCCACCCCTTAAAAAGAAAAAAAAAACCTATTACTTCCAGCAATCATAAAATAAGACAATGACTAAATATATTACATGAGGTGTACATGTCAATGAAGCTCACGAACGAGGAGTTCGAATTGTGTGGCATTCCGGAAACCAATCTAGGCCGCGCACATCGCGGCCTAGATTGGTCTCGGCGGTGTTTTCGAACGCGTGTTGAGAAAGGGGAACAGCAAATGGCCGACCGCAATGAAAAGAAATTGAAGTTACAGGCTGACGAGCGTATCTAGACATGATGGTCAGTACTTGTGATTAGCGGAGAGAAAAAGGAAACGAAAGATACGAGACGATCTTCGATGGAACCAGTTCTTTACCAGATTTGTTCTAGCGACGTCTAACGAAGGACCGAGCTATGCGAGTCGTGAAACACGATAACGGTCGTGCCTGCGCGTCCTTAAGCGCTATGTATACCGCGCGCTGCTACGTCATCTTCACTTCCCATGACGTAACGAGCGAGGGTAAGCAGCGGCAGACTGTCTTGGCACTCTTCCACAGCCGGCCACTGTCCGCAATTCTATCTTTGGCCCTTGCACTGACCCTATAGCCATGGCTCAGTAAGGGCGCGTTGTGAGTTGCTTTTTTTTTCTACCTAAACAACGCTGGTCCAGACGCATGAAGGAGAAGCCGTCTTTGTGCGCATTTTCGCTATACACTGCGCAATATGAATTACACATCAATGCCGTTAAATATACCTTACACAAACAAGCCATGGTTCGCACGTTGCGTGGTATGTAAATACCACGCTAGAATTAAACTTCGCGTATTGAAACACGGCGTCACGACACTATTCACGCCGCAGAAAGTAGTCATTTCTTTTAATGTTAAACGACAAAACCGAGGAGAAGCTTTAAAAGTTACCGACACTTGGTAAAGGAATCTGCTTATCATCCTTGTCTTCTTTCCTTATCACTTTCGACTACGGAAACGAAAATCGCATTGAGAAGTGCCAGATCGGCCTTATTTCTTCTATTCGCCTGCAACGCAGAGCTCAAGGTACGTACGGGATTTTCGACGAACACTTAAAACAACTGCCTCGGTAGATTGCCAAAGCTGGCTTTTCCGCCAAAAGACATCATATGCGGTGAAGCCTACTTCAACCACTCCCCCTGTTTCACAGCGTAAATAAGGCACTTCCTGTACCGCGGACGTATATGAGCGTCATTGACTATGTTTAACTATAGGATAACAAAGAACACTGACATGACCAAGAAAAGCTTCGTCCAGATAAGCTAAAGAAATAATAGTCCCCTCACATCAATAAAAACACGAGACCAAAGCTTTCCCAGGACGATCCTCAAGTCAGCGCGCCATCAGGACACTGAGTGCGACATCCAATAAGAACGGCTCGTGACGCTGTTCGAGCTAAAGCGACGTACTGACGTAACAAACGCGATACGGTTACTCAAATAAACTGCGAAACAGCCGCGAAATTCGTCGGCAAAACAACCGCGAAATACTTTTCGACACGACAAATATCGGAAAGACCCGACCGGTCGCACTCTATTAAATTACTCACTTGTACGATCTGGTTAATCAATGCGCAGTTATAGAACCTTCCCGGAGGCTGTTCTCTGTGGGTCACTGTGTCACGCGTGCCATTACAGAAAAAAAAAAGAGCAGCTGAGTAAGATAAAAAAGAAGAAACGCGACCGTCAAGCACGTGGAACTAAACAAGGTGCAAAAATGAGGCACTCAGCGAATCGCCAGAGCGTTGGCGTAAGAAGTCTATCCAGCAGAATAAACTAAGAGCTAGAAAGTCGGGCGGCCCAAGCAACTGAGGAAAAAAAAAGAAAAAGAAAACCTTGCGAGACGACTTCTTTTTTTTTTTTTCGCTGCTCGACACTCGCCAATGTAAAATCGAGCTTTCCCGTATTTGACATCAGAGAGGATAATGAGACAAAGACATATAAAAAAGGACACGTGCACGAGTACTGAGCAGACGCACACACACAGTATCAAGCGAGAACGGAGGCTGGTGCGAGTGCACGCATGCTTCGTTAACTTGCTACACAAGCGGCGGGCCTCCTTCCGTTTGCGGGGCAGGACGGGCTCAAGAGCGGCGGTCACCGCAGCCGTTCCGACAGAGAAGGGGGTGGCGACGCTCCAGGGCTCGAGTCCACCCTGCCGGGCTATAACGTTATGGCCCCCGACAATTACCATAAAAGCCGTCGCCGATGTGGCGGCGTATAAATATATCCAAGCGCTAACTGGTCGTTCCGATAACGGCCGTATAACGGGACCT